AAATGCCTAACTGTACATTTGGTAGAAATGTACCAATAATGCAAGTTAGAAGAAAGATTAAATGCCTTTAGGATAAAAGACTAAATGTCTAACGGTACATTTTGTCAGAAAGGTGCCACTAATACAAGTTAGATAAAGAACAATCTATAAATGACATGAAAGGATGACATAAATGAAAATGTATAACAGTGCATAATTGGCATGAAATGATGCCATAAATGAAAATGTATAACAGTGTATACTCTGCATGAAAGGATACCATAAATGAAAATACATAGCGGTATATTAACGATATATAAGGTGTCGCTCATGAAATTATAAAAGATAAAGGACCATTTGACACTTTGGTGCAATGCATGTACATTACTTTCTCACTTAGCATACATAGGGCAAATAAAGAATAATTGGGAAAAATATACAGAAGGATAGGTATTGCTGGGACTACTAAGAATAATTTTGATGATTGTATGAAAGAAAAATCTAGCTTAACTTAGAAGGATTTATCTGATCCTTATGGAGTATGCGATTTAGTTCGTCATTAAATAGTCATGAGATACTTATGTATAAATTGCATATTCTTTACAATATTATGTCTCATTAAGTATATACTTAACGTGTGTTGATTTAACGCGTAGGTAACAATAAAGACTAGTCGGGTACTGGGAGCAGGAGCAACTATCATTAATCTAAGGTTGACTCTCATTAGTAACAGTAGGACAATCGTGTATCTCCCGCAATCATGCTCAGGGGGTGACTACTGGTGATTCTAGAAATAATTCGACCTCATTTTCAAAACCGCATCATGACTTTCTAAAAAATGAGGCAATATTTGGTTATCGAGCACAATAATTGATCTCCCACGTTTATGCTAGGGGGCGAACACTATCGGCTTTAATAAATGAATACCCTTTTCAACTCTTTGCATCCGTAATGATTTTCGAATTAAATAAAGATCAAACTCAAAGTTTCCGATTTTAAATATAGAGTAACCTACTAGGTATTAATTTTTGGGCGCTTGTGGGGGTGCTAATCCTTCTCCACGCATAACTGACTCCCGAAATTGACTTTTGGATTTTCGCAGACAACTTGGTATTTTTATAAAATAAAATGTTTTATTAAAATCACCCAGTTTTTACGGTGTCCCAATCACACCTTAAATGATTGGTGGTGACTCTTCACATTTCGAAATTATTTTAAAAAGAGAAAAACCCCTGAGTCGGTATCAGTCTTTTTCCCATCCGAGCAAAAAACGGTGTTGATAACTTAGCGACCCCACTGGGGACTTTTGTTTTTTTTTAAAATTGAGAGTCGAGCCACGAGTTGGTTACCCTATATTTATGATTTTGGAAATTATGAGTTCGATCATATTTAATTTACGGTTCATTATGTTATTTCAAAAGAAAAAATAGATTTTCTCTCTGGTTAATGCTGACACAATTATTTAAGATTGAGGCATATCATAACTCTAAACCCGAGCTCTAACCCGATTTACCTAAGTAGGGAGAAACGTCACACCCCATGAGGTTAATTGGGCTTCCTTGTGTGGGTCTGATAAAATATCTTTGGAAAGCATCCTAAGTTGCATATCCGAATATCATATCTGAGGTACGCTTTAAGTGGTGTGACCCTTTGACCTGAACCCGATTCGTAAGTCTGTAATGGGTTAGAATCGGGGTTAACCTTAGCAGGTTGTAAGAATTGCTCAGGAACTTTTGCTAGAACCCTGCAACGTGTAGAGAATTTAGTAAACCTACCCCGCTAGAGCCATGTGGATAACCTAGGAGAACTATAGTGCATACAGTTAGGATTTTAATTGTCTTTAGTGGGTTTTACATCCAATTCTTTAAATTTTTGCTAATTATTCCTTGATTTTTTATGAATTAATCTAATGTTACTAACTTGTCTCTTTGTTTCTTGATTGCATGTGTCATTTTCATTTTCATGTCATATTATTGCATAGACGGTATTCATTCCCAGATTACTTAGTTACTGTAAAAAGAGCATAAGGCAGTAATGTCTCTCGATAGGACTGAGAACGCGATAAATGTTCATACCTGGTCTGAGTATGGGCAGACATAGTTTGGGGAAAGTATTGCCGCTCCCGAAGAGTCAGTTTTTCCAGAGAAAGTGTTTGTGAGTGTCATGCAGGCATATTGGTATGAGTTATTGAGAATTTGGGCCAGCTGGGATAATAATGAAAATATATTATTCAGAGAAGTATACGTTGACATCGTCAAGTTGCTAAGGGTACTAATAGATGTAGTTGTGGTTCAAGTCTTCATTGAGTATTGGAATCCAATTTATCATTGCTTCACTTTCGGTAAAGTGGACATGACCCTACTCTGGAAGAATATACGACTCTGCTAAACATCCTAAATGTTAGGAGGAATTCCCTTTACACCAAGGCGATCCGACCAAAGGGGTTCACAACCAAGATGATCACATTGACGGGAAAGACCAAAGAATGGGTTGAGGAGTACATTCACGATGAGGAGATCTCTTGGGCTCAGCTGAAGAGTTTGATTTTACTAACAGACGCCATCCAAAAGGAGGAGAGATCACTTCGTGCTCGCAGTATATGGCTTGGTAGTTTTCCCAAGGAGGGAGGATCATTTCGACATTGCCTTAAGCGATTTTTTCAAAGTTATTGCTAGAAAGACAAATCCCACACCGGCCATCCTAGCAGAAATGTTCTTGTCACTAAACCAGTGTAAACAATCGGGGGAGGTCAGTTTACTGGTTGTGCATCGATGTTTCTAATATGGTGGTGAAATCACTCCTGGATAGTCGATAAAGGTTGGGCTCGAAGGCATCAGTCAGATTTCTATCCTTTAGTGGACTTCCTCGACAAGTGCCAAATCCCGGAACACCACAAAAGAAAATATTGGGTTGAAGCCCTCCGGAACATAAAAGACACCGAGATAGTATGTAAATCTTATTGGTTGCCCAAGAAAGACATATTTTACAAGTGTGACAACGATAGATTTGTGATGTTACGCATATTATGGGGAGCAGTTGATTATACTCAATTGATAACACTTCGATAGTTCAATACCCGATAGTTCATACTAGACGGTCTGAAGGAGGCAGAGTTTTCTATCTCTGCCCAGGTTATCGAGAGCATATCTAAAAGATTTACACTACATGGTAGAAACCCTACCTTATGAGTTTCAAGATGATAGACCCTATAGTTATGCTAACCTACGAGGTTTGGAGGTCAGGAAGGATCAATGACAACACCCTGAAGCTGAATTTGGAGGATGGGTTGACCATGGAGGAGCGATTGAGGAGGCTCCCGACTGAGGCTGAGCTTTTGAGAGAGGAAATTTGGTTGATGAATCTAGAGATAGAGAAAGAACAAAGAAGCTTTTCGGATGAAAAGACAATGTGGGAGCTTGAGCTGATTAAGAAAGACGGGGTGATAAAGCAGTTGGCCAAAGAAAAAGAGAAAGTCCAAGAGAGTTTCGATGCTCTGGACTGGGATTTCAGGGACCTAGAGAAGAACATGAGAGCCCAAGGTCTACATCATACTGCTAAGGCCTTAAAGATAAAACTCGACGGGGTAGAGAGAAGCGCAAGAAAGAGCCAGGAGGAAAAGAAATGAGCCATGCAACATTCTCAGAGACTGAGAGAACAAAGAGATGAGGCTAATCAAGAGTTGGCACAGAAGCGAGCACAGATTGAGCATCTCGAGTCATAGCTGATTAGCTTAGAAGAGACTTTTTAAAACCCTAACAACAACAACGAGTTCCTTCTTCAAAGAGAGAATGAGGTATTGAAGAAGAGGATAACAGAGTTGGAGGTAGGAGAGTTGATCTACTCATCCCCACGAGAGATGACCAAGCAAGAAAACAAAGCCTTAAAAGACAAGATTGATGAGTTAGAAGTCATGGTACAAAGGTGCCATCAACGAATCCAGCAGCGTGAGGAAAGCTGACCACTGACTAGTCCAGAACTGGGAATTACGCTACGACAAGCTAAGGACACCATTCAGAGGCATCATGAGAAATAAAGAAGGCAATAGATTAGGGCAGCAGTGTTTCTCGCCAAGTCTACGAGTTGTCTGAAGAAGCGACAACCCTGAGAGTTTTCATGATCCCGAAATCAGAGGAAGAACTACACGTCATAGAGTTGATGATATAACTCGAGAAATTAAGGGACAAGGCTAGATTTTATATTTAGTTCCTTGTGGATGTACTCTATTTGCCTAAGTGCTTAGGCATTATGTGTTGTTGAGAACTTTTGTACGAACTAAGTTATTTTGGAATCAATATCGGTTGTATTTGTATTTTCATGTTTTTTCTAATGTTTAAATCTTAATGCTTGCATTAAACCAATTCATTCATTTAATAATTCACCAAATAATAAAATAGAATTTCTTATCATTTGTAGTGATCCTGGAATACATCTCATACCCGTACAGTTCTCGTAAGTCAATTAAGAAAATGGAAGAGAGACTAGCCCGAATTGAATAAGACCACAGGGAAACCCAAGATGAAATGAGGGAAAGACTGAGTAAAATGGAAGAAAAAAATGGAAAACTCATAACTTGGTCTACTACAAAAGATCGAATACATATTCAAGAAGTATTCTACGACTAGAAAGACTGTGGTTGACCAACCATCGCATCCCCCACATTTTGGACCGGGATCGTCGTATCCTGTTGGGTTTACATCCGACCCTCAACACCCTTCGGGTTTCACACCGGACCCCCCACATCCTCTTAGTTTCACACCAGTGCACATTTTTGTTAGATCACACCTCTACAATAGACTCACCCCGAAATATACTTGGCTAATCAACAACACCACACAGAGCCTGCATTCCAAATAAATTACCCACCAGCTGCTAGGGTAAGGCCTATCGAATCGGGTGTAGAGGAGATCCCACCCGACTTTCATAAGATAACAGAAAATGAAAAGGCTAATTGTGAGATAACCCAGTATTTGAAAAGTCTAGAGGAAAGGGTGAGGTCAGTAAAAGTCGAGTCTTTTTACGGAATGGACGCAATAGAGCTAAGCATGGTTCCTGATCTCATATTACCCCCAAAGTTCAAAGTACCAAACTTCAAAAAATACGATGGGACCACTTGCCTATTTGCTCACCTCACCATTTTCTGTAGGAGAATGACAGGCTATACTGAGAATGAGAAGCTTTTGATACATTGCTTCCAGGACAATTTGACTGGATTGGCGGCCAAATGGTACAACTAGTTAACCAAATCCTATACCAAATCATGGAGGGATTTGGCCCAGGCATTTTTAGAGTAATATCATCATGCCATTGACCTAGTACCTGAAAGACTGACGCTGCAAAATATGAAGAAATGAAACAACGAAACCTTTAGGCAGTACGCTCAAAGGTGGCATGATGTGGCATCACAAGTGCAACCCCCATTGCTGGAAAAGGAGGATACATTTATTTCCGTGAATACCCTGAAAGCTCTATATCTGGGGCATCTGTTAGGAAATGCTACCAAGAACTTTGCCGACCTGGTCATTTCTGGTGAGCTAATCGAGAATTCCATAGGAATGACAAGATTGAAGGAGGAGAAGGATCGAAGAAGCCCTATTTTAAAAAGAAGAAAAGTGAGGTGAACCACGCGAGCACTTACCAGAAAAACTACATAGCTAGTGTTACAATCACTTAATCTAGGGAAGAGAAGGCAAGCACCCATTAAAACAGAGAGCCAAGAAGAGAGATCACGAGACCAACTTTCTCACCAGTACCATTGCCGTACTTAGAAATCTACGCCTCGCTCTTGAAGGTAGATTTAGTATGCCACTATAAGTTGACTTCGCTACAGCCACTTTACCCTCATTGGTATAATGCCAACGTTCACTGCAGGTACCATGCAGGGATTGCTGGGCATGATATCATGAATTGCTTAACTTTTAAAAAGGTTAAACAAAATCTCATTAACATCGGAGACTTGGAATTCAAAACACCATCTACGAATGCTCACGCCCTACCCTATCATGGGAGGCAAGGAGTCAATATGATTGATGAAAGGGAGATCAGGATAACAAAGAGAGATGTATCAGAAGTCAAATCTCCTCTCAGCTGGGTGTTCATACAGCTGTGCACATCGGGAATGATTAGAGGTAATCCCAAGCCAATGCCATCGGGACGTAAAACATATTGTGAATATCACCAATGAAAGGACCACAACATCCAGAGTTTCCATGAATTTTGAGGATTACTTCAGGAGATGATGAACAACGGGGAGGTAGAATTCTTCAATTAAGAGGAGAACCCACGAGAGATGAACGTTTGTATGACTGATGTCTCTAATGGGATAACAGGGATGATGAAGTTGGTAGTCTCACAGTTTGACCAGGAAACGAGAGTTCATCGTCAATAACTCCTAAAGTTGTGATTACAACTCTATCTACCTTCCCGTTCAAGGACACACGACAAGTTTCTTGGAGTTATACAACTAGTGTATCTATACCAGAGGGGCCAAAGACTCCCGAAAAGGTAAGCGAGAAAAACAAGTCAATCTTAGAAGAAGTAAGTGAGGTTGGCCACTTCACAAGAAGCAGAAGATGGTACTTTCCTGAGACGTCCACCGAAACAGACAAGACAAAAGCCAAAGCCAAGATGGTGGTGGTGCCAAAAATTTTCAATGAAGAACCTTCACTGATCATAAATGAGCCCATGAATGAAGCTCATGGTCGCGAATTTTTGAGATTTCTAAAGCATAGTGAATACAACGTAGTGGAGCAGCTTTACAAACAGTAGGCGAAAATCTCTCTTGATCAACATAGAAGTACATCGGAACGCCTTGCTGAAAGTAATTAACTAGACATTTTTCCCTGAGGATATCTTGACACATAAGTTGGACCAAATCGTGGGATACATAGTTACAGACAACTACATCACCTTCACTGATGATGAGATCCCAGAAGGAGGAATGAGGTCCATCAAGGCTTTAAATATCACGGTGCACTGCCATAACCATGTCTTACCAGTGGTTTTGATAGATAATAGGTCTGCACTAAACGTAATGCCCTTGGCTACACTACAAAGAATTCCCATTGATAGCTTACACATGAGAGTTTATCATAACATCATCAGAACATTCAACAGAACCCAAAAGAATGTAATGGGAAAAATGAAAATACCCTTGTTGATCGGGCCTACTATTTACTACATTGACTTCGTGATAATGAACATCCACCCAACATACAACTTCTTATTGGGGAGACCCTGGATCCACGTGGCAGGGGCAATTCCTTCATCCCTATATCAGAAGCTGAAATTCTTAATTAATGGAAGGTTGGTCAGTATCGGAGTTGAACAAGAAATCATTGCTTCTGTAACGTCCGATACCCCCTACATCGACGTCAATGAGGACACCTTAGAATGTTCTTTCAGGGCTTTAGAATTTATTAACACCGAAGGAAACAAGATTCTGCGCCCATCACTGTCAGATTGTACTAAGATGATGGTGAGGCAAACCCTAGGAAGAGGAGCGAGAACAACAAAGGACTGAGAAAATATCTACAAGGGCTAGTACGACCCATAACTATTGAATGGAAGAGAGACCATTTCGGGCTCGGGTTTAAACCCACCTTTAAGTAGCGTGGCCAAAAGCTGAAGAAAAGGGCTGAAGTGAGGAAAACTAGATTGAGAGGAGAGGACGTCCCCGGAGAACACATGTCCTTCCCTCCTCTGAAGAACTCTTTCAAATTCAGAGGAGTGTACGACATAGAACAACAACTAACCAGTGCCATCGAGATCGAGAGGCTGACAAAGGAAGAGGAGTGGATGGGAGAAGCTCTGAAGGGGCTATCAATCAACATGATTACCGGGGCAACCAACTAGGAAAGTTTATAGCTGGAATTCATCCTTGTTTCCCTGGTGAAAAGCTCGAGAATTGGACAGCCGAAGACTTCCCTCTAATTTTTAGGGTCAGTCCAAAGTAATGCTCAGAAATAATTTGTATTATCATCTTAAAAGTATCTATGGAACTTTTTGTAAACCTCAACGATTATCCTGTCAATTAATGAAATATACTTTTCTTCTCAAATGACAATCACTTTCATTCTTCGCATTTTTGCATTACATTTTTTGCATCATATTCTTTATTCTATATTCTTCATTCTTTACATTCCAATATATCTGAGCCAAATTTCATGTAAATGTCACAATAATACTAGCATAACTGTTCCTGAGGCCAGTTACAAGATGGATTTTGAGTGATCATTGTGTTTAGAAGAAGTCAATGAGTGCGAAGATGAAGAAGATTGTGAAGTCCCTAATGAGCTATTGAGATTTGTGGAAAGAGATGAAAAATAGATTCTACCCCAAGAGTTTGAAGACGTCTTTGCTTGGTCATATCAAGATATGACGGGGCTAAGCAGTGATATAGTAGTCCACACATTTCCCATTAAACCTGAATGCAAGTCAGTTTAACAAAAACTTAGAAGAATGAAACCAGAGATGTTATTAAAGATTAAAGAGGAGGTAACAAAAAAAATCAATGTAGGTTTCATTCAGGAGGCAAAATACCCCGAATTGGTAGCCAATATAGTTTTGGTATCTAAGAAGGATGAGAAGGTCCGTATGTGCGCGGATTATCGAGATCTTAACAGGCCTAGCCTGAAGGACAATTTTCCCTTACCTCATATAGACACTATGGTAGACAATACTGATGGGGATTCTTGGTTTTCCTTCATGGATGGCTTCTCAGGGTATAACCAGATCAAAATGAACTATGAGGACATGGAGAAAATGACTCTTATAACCGTGTGGGGAACTTTATACTACAAGGTGATTCCATTTGGGTTGAAAAATACTGGGGCAACCTATCAAAGAACCATGGTGACTCTTTTTCACAACATGATGCACAAGGAAATAGAAGTGTACGTAGATGACGCGATTGCCAAGTCACGAACGAAAGAAGAACATGTACAAATTTTGAGAAAATTGTTCCAAAGATTAAGAAAGTACCAACTAAAGCTCAATCCAGCCAAATGCACGTGCGGAGTAAAATCAGGAAAACCATTGGGCTTCGTGGTGAGCCAGGATGGAATCGAGATCGATCTGGATAAGATTAAGGTAATTCAAGACCTTCCCGCACCTCGTATACAGAAAGAAGTTCGAGGGTTATGGGGAAGACTAAATTATATATCACGATTCATTTCTCAGCTGACCGATAAATGCGATCCGGTATTCAAATTGCTCAAAAAGAATAATATGGAGGTATGAAACAACGAATGCCAGTAGACTTTGGAAATTATCAAGAAATACCTGTCCAATGGCCCCATATTAGTAGCACAAGTACCCGAAAAACTGCTAATTCTCTACTTAACGGTTTTCAAGAATTCAATGGGTGGTGTACTAGGGCAACATGATGAGTTTGGAAGAAAGGAAAGATCCGTTTATTACTTGAGCAAAAAGTTTACTGATTGTGAGACTCGATACCCACCGATTCAAAAGTTGTGTTGTGCCTTAGTTTGAGCTACCCGGAGGCTCAGGCAGTACATATTTTACCATACCACATGGTTGATATCGAGGATGGATCCACTAAGATTTTTAATGGAGACCCTTGCTTTGATTGGCAGTCTGGCTAGATGGTAGATGTTGTTATCATAGTTTTAATTTGTCTATGTGAGCCAAAAGGCAATAAAAGGAAGAACCATAGCTTACTTTCTTGCAAGTCGTGCCTTGGAGGATTACGAATCTTTAGAGTCAATCGAAAGGATGAAATAGCCGAGAGGGGGTGAATTGTCAATTAAAAATTTGGTGGAAGCTTAAGTGAAAAAATTAAACAAATGAACACAAGAATTTATAGTGGTTCGACTTTATTAACCAAAGTCTACCTCCACTACCTTAGCTATCCACACTAAGGATTTTCACAAATTCACTAATTTGTATCTACCTTTGAGTATAAGGTGTAACCTTACAACTCCCTCAAGAATTGTACCCCAAATTCTTGAGACACTCTCTCAATGAGAAAATATACAAATTGCAAACTTATAAAAAACCTCACAAAGAATGTGTTTGCACAATTCAAGAACAAATAATAACACTTGAGAAATGAATACAAATAAGTACAAGAAGTTTTCTTTGAAAGCAAAAAGAATATTAAAGAATGTTGACTTGATTTAGCTCAAACTTGATGTTTATGGCTTTCTCTTTTGTCTCTTATATTCACAAATATCTTGGGATCTTGTTTATATACTCCCTCAATCAATTCCAACCGTTTGAGTTGTTGTGGGAGTGAATATAGTCGTTGGGGGGGGGGGGAGGTAATTTCCCGCATTAAATGCTACTCAAAGGCTTGTAGTATCGGTACTACGTTTATCAGTATCGATACTCCCTACATTAAATTCAAAAATTTGACCATTGGGAAACATCGGCATCGATACTGTCACAAGGGTATCAGTACTACTATATTTTGTAGTATCAATACTGTACATAGTATCGGTACCATTTTAGTATACTAGAATTTCATGGACTCAAAACCAAAAGGAGTAGTATCAGTACCATAACAAAGAGTTTCGATACTACTACACTAAGTAATATCGATACCGTATATAGTATCGGTACCATTTTAGCATTCTGTTTTTACAGTATCGGTACTGCATCAACAATATTGGTACTACTTCATTGTTTTGGGCTTCAATACCAATATTTGTATCGGTACTTCTTTAACAATATCGATACTGTTATAGTAGTATCCGTACTACTTTGCTTAAAATCATTTTTGACTCGATTAAAGTTCGAAACCCTTAGTAAAAATTATTTCAAAAATATTTCCAGTATAGGACTCAAATTTTCAGTTGAGTGAGGAGTAAAAATTGTCGTTTTAACTTTAAAGAATAATTATATATATTTGAATGATTGAATCGAATATAATCTTAAAATTTGTAAAAACTAAATAACAATTTTGTTTGTGTTGAAAATATTTTGATATTTCGATATAACAAATAAAGTGTTAAGTAATTTTAAGATTTTATATTCGATTCAAATTTTATATTCGATTCAATTATTCAAATATTACAAATATTACTCCAAGTTTTCAAATATCAATTTTTACTCCCTACTAAATGAAAAATTGTGATTTATACTTAAAATATTTTTGAAACAATTTTTACAAAGTATTTCAAACTATAATCGAGTCAAAATTGAATTTTAAATAGGGTAGTATCGATACTGCCTCAACAGTATCGATACTGCCTCAACAGTATCGATACTCCCAAACATCAAAGCTAATTTGGGTACCAATACCCTACACGGTACCGATACCTTACACAGTACCGATACCCTTACACATAGTAGTACCGATACCATAGCCAATGGTACCAATACTACCCCTTTGTTTTTTACTTCGAGAAATAACATAATGCAAAATGGGTACCGATACCATGATCGGTATCGATACCACTTTAAATAGTAGTATCGATACCGCTAGTTTTGCAACGGTCAAGATATTTGAATTTTATACATGTAGTACTGATACCCCTATGAAGGAGTACCGATACCCATCGCTCCCAGCAGACTTTTCAAGTGGATTTCACACTACAACGAATCTATTGACTCCATGATCATCCCCAACGTCTAGAATTGATCTAAGGTGTATTTAAACAAGTCTTGAAGCCATTGGTGAAAAAAAATTGAAGAATTGAGAAAACAAGCAAGAGAGAAAGCCTTAAATATCAAGTTTGAGCAATTCAAGCCAAAATCCATTCAATATTCATTTTGCTTTCAAGAACACAACTTATGCTCAATTGTATTCATTTTTAGTGTTCTTTCTTTGTTCCAGAATTGTGCAAACATCTTACCTTGTGAGGTTTATCTGTAAGTTTGCAAAGTTTATAATTTTCTCTTTGAGAAGAGTGTGTCTCAAGAATCTGGGGTATAATTCTTGAGGGAATTGTAAGGCTACTCTTTGTCCTCAAAAGAAAGAGAAAGTAGTGAATTTGTGGAAAATCCTTAGTGTGGATAGCTAAGGTAGTGGACGTAGACTTTAGTTGAGAAAGTCGAACCACTCTAAATCGTTGTGCAAATCTTTTCAATTTTCTGTCAAAGCTTCCACCAAAATTTAATTGCCAATTCACCCCCTCTTGGCAATTTCATCCGATCGATTAACTCAACAATTGGTATCAAAGCTTGCCTCATTTGAAGGTTTTACCATATCTTGAGAAGATCTGGGAAGAGTTCAATGGATATTCAAGTCATCAATTGTCTCTACATCAAACTTTGACTTCGTTCTTGATTCTCAGTCTGTCAACAAGCCTTCTTTCTTCAATGGAGCTAACGATGCCTATTGAAAGAATATGATGAAGTTCTTCATTCAACCTAGTGACATGAGAGCATGGAAAATCATGATGCGAGGATACTCTGAACCATCCACAGAACTAAAAATGCGGAGTGAAGAAGAGACCAGATTATTCCAGCTCAACTCAAAAGCTATTCATATTCTTTTTTGTGCACTTGGACCAGATGAATACGGGAGAATATCATCTTGTTCAACCAACAAGGAGATATGGGATGAACTTCAAGTCACACATGAAAAATCTGACGAGGTAAAAGAAACCAAAATTAGTCTTCTTACTAATAGCTATGAAAATTTCAGGATTAAACCAGATGAAGATATCAAAGCTATGAAAGATATATTCTCAGTGATTGTCAATGGCCTCAAGGGATTCAGAGAAATAATCCCTAACGAGAAACTTGTGAGGAAGATAATTTATTCTCTTCTAAAAGCTTGGCAATCGAAGAAGACTGCAATTATCAAAGCTAAAGACCTAAAGTCTTTAACTCTCGATGAGGTCATTGGTTCTCTCCTCACTCATGAAATAATGATTTAAGATGAGGTAGATCACGAGAAGAATGTCGATACAAAGAAGGAGATGGAGAAAAAGAAGAACGTTGGTGTTGCTCTCAAAGTCACCAAAGATGAGAGTGACTTTGATGA